TTGAGTTCGCTGGAACCTGAGAGGCCCATCATCCAGTACTATTTCCAACAAAGTTCTGTTTCCATTTATTAGACCATCAGTGTCTGACAGCATTTCAAAGTTGTGCATAAAGTTTTCAGCAGCTCATTCCTTGCAGTGGGGAGCTGAGTCTTTCTTTGCTGTCTGTTCTTAGTCTGAAAGCTCCATTGAACCCTGTTCACCTTGGGTTACCCTGCTGGCATTTGAAATACCAGCGACAGAACTTCCAGTGTCAGGAAGGCACAGACCACCACAGTACAGCAAACTGAATGTAGCTACTAGAAAATCTGAAACCCTGTGGCTCATCCTATATTTCTATTTGGCAGAACTGGGCTAAATCCAAATCGAGTAAAATATATTATGTATCTATGGTACGGTTTCCATGAGTTGGAATTGATTTGATGACAGAAGTTTACTTTTTGGTGTTTTAAGTTAACTAACTAGATTTTTAAAGCAGGATACAAAAAAGTTTATTGAATTTTAAGATTTGATTTTAAAAAATAGTACCAAGATTATGAAAACCTATCTATGGAATACAAGGGAAATACTTAAAACAGTTGTGAAGAACATTTAATCACGTTGAACAAGACACTCAATAAGAATAATAGAGCATCCCAGGGTCAGAACAATTTGTTTTTCAAAATCTTCAGGAAGCTAGATCGTGACACTAATTGGTGCATGTCGTTTGTTGCTGGAGTCTCTTTTGACTCTTGGTAACCATATGTGTAACGAAAGGGTGCACGGTTCTGTGTCATTCACATGGTCATTGGTATGCTCTTTGTTGTAGGTATTGTGTCCCCCCATCTCATTGGACGTATCCCTCATTGTCATAGACTCTCTTCCAATTATATGCCTTATAGTAATTTGTCTTCTGATGATGTGTCCAAAGTAGGCAAGCTGAAGCCTGGCCATTCTTATTTCTCCAAGAATTATTTTGGTCATAGTTCTTCTAAGATCAATTTTTTTCATTCATTTTTTTTCTTTCCATTGTTTTTTTTAATAATCATTTTATTGGGGCTCATACAACTCTTATCACAATCCATACATCCATCCATTGTGTCCAGCACATTTGTACATTTTTTGCCATCATCATT